GTCCTTTCCTATATTGAAAAATGCAACCTAAATTTCTCAACGAAAACAGTCAAATATGCTCCAAACGGCTTCCCCAATGCTTAAAAAATTATATAATCTCAGATTTTAGACACTGCATGTGAATCTTTTTGGCTACATTATATGGAAATTAAATTAGTATTCCTTCATACTCCAATAAAATAGTCCATTTACCATACAAGTACACGATACGATCAGTTGTGAATCGTTTAACGGCTAATTAGCACTTATTAATTTTTTTAAAATAAGAGAGTAATTGTGAGGTTATTGTATGTGAAAATGGTAGCATTATTTTTATCAAGGAAAATAAATATGTGGTACTAAAAAACTTAAAAGTTTTACATAAGGCCTAGCGCTGGGAGCATGTCCACCTGAAGTTCTTTTACAGATTAGAATATAACTAGTCAGTGGAAAAATAGAATATGCCTCATTGGAGTTTACCAGTAAAGGTTGTACACATTTGAACTATTTAGTCTTTTTTGGTAGCAGAAGCTGTATGCATAATGCTTGTACCCAACTCAAGTTTATTTATTTATTTTATACAAGATATATTAGGGGAACGGGGAATCGAACCTAGGACATTGGATGTATAGATAAATGCTTTTAATTATTTGAGCTACGACCTTCTTGCAAAATCCAAGATTTTTTTCAAAGAGATTTAAGAATATTCCATTATACAACACAAAGCTGAACTTAAGTACTAGTTGGACTAAGAACAAAAATGATAGAGACTGGTTTGACAAAAAAATAGAAGGAAAAAGATGCTGGTTTTTGCCAAAATGATAAAGACTAAATATATTGTCCTCTTATATTGAGGCATCCTCAAATAATTTTATTTGAGGGACACCCTTTAGAGTACTCCATGAATTTTTTTTCAATGATCTAAACTGTTTATTTTTTAAATCTTCATTCATAGATCATTCTTATAAAAAATTAGACAAATTAAAAATCATTAAGACATCTAATTGAAAAAACGATAAAATGATAAAATGAGCACACAAAAAGAAAACGAAAAAAAAAGCCCAAGAGGGAGAAAAGAGTCTTGTGAGTCCCTAACATGAAGCCCCACCTTAGGCTTTATAGGCAAAGCATGAATGATGGCCGGTGGCCGACCCTTTCTTTTCCCAGTTTTTCTCCCTTTTTCCATTTAAATCCTCACAAAGCGGAGGTCAGCTCTCTCCATCACCACCAACCCTTTCTTTCCTATTTCTATTTTTTTATTTTCACTTCTCTCATTTCCATATTTTTCTTAAAAGTAATTTCCCAATACAATTATTGAATTTACCCAAAAAAAAAATTCAAATAAAAAAAAAAAACATCTGAACCAGACCCAGAAAAGGATTGATGAAACTAAAAGATACAGAGAGTCACAGAAAATACAAAAAAAAACACAGCGCATGAACACCAACTGCTGCAGAAGCAACAACAGCAACAACCTCTACCTGTTGGCTAGACTGATTGATTAAAAATTCAAAAGGTACTTGCATTCCTTTCCTTTTTATTTTTCCTCTAATCAACTTTAGCCATCATTTTTTTATAGATTATTTTACTGTTGTTTCATTGACCTTGGCATCAAAAAAACCCACTTGCCAAATTCTGCTGTCTAATCAAATTGTAAACAAATTACAGCAAGAGATTAGTATTGAAACCAACAAAATTTCACCTGACCCAAAAAAAAAAAGCACCTGGTTTTGCAGTCAAAGCTTTCACCTTGTCCTTTTTAATCCTGATCTTTTTCACCGAGCAGCAAAAACTGCAGTGATTCCCTCCAAAGGAAATTGATGGGATATGGAAAAGAAAACATATAAAGGAAAACATAATAATTAATTACTATAAATAATATTAATAAACAATTATATAATTGAATAAGGGGAATTTACAGTTCATCTGTGCTTGTGGGGAGTGTGTCCTCTTTGTTGCCGTTAGTGATAAGCACGCCTGGCAAACTCATCATTCCCTCCAACCTCCTCTCTCTCTCTCTCTCTCTCTCTCTCTCTCTCTCTACCTTTTTCTCTCTACACCTTTCTTTCTCTCTCTACAATTCTCATTTTTCTTCTTCTTCTTCTTCTTTCTCTAGCCCCCACTTTATTTTCTTTCTTCTCAGCTTTTTTTTTCACTTTATCCATTTTTCCTGGAAATGCATATGAATTCTGTTTTGTCTGTAATTTATCTGCATTAGATTGGATCTGGGTCGGCTTCATTTGGACTCTGATTGGGATTTTCTTCGTCAACAACCACCAGGTGTGCTCAAAATTCAAGCTTTCGATGTTGGGTTTTTACCATTTAGTAATAATTGTTTTTTAGATTTTAGTTGTTGGGTTTGTGAATTAATGTTTCATTTTGCTGAAATCAATGCGATAAACCCATTAACATGCTTGTTAGGAAAGTGTTGATTTTCGTGTATCTTGCTCTGCTCTTGATGATGTGGGTTTGATCGGATTGGTCTATTATGATTTAATTTCACTGATCTGAGAGAAACTTCCGTGTTTTCTTGCTTAATTTCAGCTGAGCTTGTGATTCTTAGTTTCGTTTAAATATGATTTTCCATGAAACTTAGTGCTAAATATTAAAATTGAGTGGTCCCGAAATTCGAAACTTGGAACTCGTAGTATCTGTGCCATGGTCTTAGAATTTTTTTGGGTTAGCTGTTGTTTATCTTTCGTCTTCTCCGCCGTGACTCATGCGATTTAGTCCCTAGTGTGAATGCGTGTGTGCGCATGTGAGACCGCGCATGTGTGTGTTAAAATGTCACCTGAGAATTACGTCTCTGCCTGTGTGTTATTTTTCATTACCCTCCGTTTGGACAAGGGAAATAACTCGGAATTTAGGTAAAAGTCAGGAATTGAAGAAGAGAAATTGACAATTCCCTTGTTTGGCAACTTAAACGCGGAACTTATTAAATGACGCGTGGAAAAAATCATGGAAATTGAGGCATCAAATTCCCGAGTTTAATTTCCACCAAAATAGGTGTCATTTCACAATTTCCGTAGTGTGGGAATTCATATTTTCCAGTGTGCCAAAACTTACATAAAAAATAACCCACCAAACTTTTCATTAAAAAAAACAGCGCCAAAAACCTATGAAACTGAGTATAGCCAGAGAAGTAAGAAGAAGGAGTTCTTCTTGGGTTACATGGCTCTTTGGATCAAGTTTGAAGGTTAGTCTTCAAGCCTTTCTCTCCTTCAATTTATATATTTTTTATTTTAGGGTTACCATGGTTTCTGAATGGCTATCAAAATTGGGTGTTTCTGACTAAATTTATGAATGTGTTGAATGGGTTTTGTGATCTTTGCGGTATTGTGGCTGGATTTTTGGGAAGTTTTAACAAAATACTCTATGCCCATGGATATTGGTGTGTGATTGGTGTTTATGGTACAGCTTTGTAGTTGTTTGCTAGCTTTATCACTTTGTGTTATCGCCTTGCTCTGTAGTTGTTTGTTAGCTTTATCGCTTTGTGTGAGCCATTAGATGTTGATTGTAAGCTACACCAACTTGCCCGTAAGCTGCAGCTTGGCCAAGGTGCTCCTTCATTCTTTGGGACTTGAATTAAGTCTTATGATAGTGATTAATTGATTTCATCATTTATACCTATACTTTTGTTTGCAACTTTTTATTCAAAGCCCTTTTAGTTTCTCTGGTCATTGGTCTTTTGCCAAGTGAAAAAGAAGTATCAAGGTCTTGATTGCTGATTGCTTCTAGTTCTAATTCCATAGGCACTCCCAATTGAGAAAAAAAAAAAATATGTTACTGATGTTCATTGCACGTGGGGAGTGATTTGGTTTGCTAATATGCTTTGTTTGTTTAAGTTGAGTTATTTAGTTCATCAAACGATATGTTATTTCATACTTCGAGGAATACCTTCTATGTCGGTTATCAGTTTTTTTGTTCTTTCGAAATATTTAATTTCTTTCATTTATAATTTACATGAGCTATCCAAACATTGAAATTTTCAATTTCTGTCATTTACAAAATTCGACATACATAAATCCAAACACTGAAATCTTCAATTGCTAGAAATTGAAATGACGGAAATCTAAATTCCGTCATTTTAAAATTCTATGTAATTTGCAATTCCTTCATCCAAACGGAGCATTAATGTTTCACCTGCATTTTTCATTTGTGTATGCCAAATTCTTCCTTGGTTCTGTGCATGGCTTTGTGTTTGGTTCAATAAACAGTTTTGCTCCATCTTTTGTATTTTCCTTTGTCATGTTTATTCATTTAAATATTATTTATTTGCTCTTCTTCCTTGTCCCTTATACTCAATGTCTTTAGCCTGAAAAAAGTAGTTCCAGTTGGGTTCGATAAAAAGGTTGAGAGTCGATGTAGTGAGTTTGCAGTTTATCTGGAATTACATATTTTCATTGCAACTTCTTGGAATGAATACGCTAAATTTCCCAATAAGATGTTTTGCATATTGGTTGAAGCTGCATTTAGGATTGAAAGGCAACTAGCTGTATCAGTGGATTGCATTATACATTATGCTGATATGAAGCTTTAATCTGTGAAACTAAGGACTTTAGGACTGAACCTATGTACTGAGCATCCTATATCTAATCCTGCTAAAACTTCAGTGGAATTTTTGCCGTTTGGGCAAACTATGCCTCATATTACATACTTCATGGGACAAATATACGATGGCAGTTTTTGCTGCTCACAAGGTTTTATTTGACTCTATGTTAACTTTCATGTTGTAAAAATCACAGTTTTACTCCCATCTATGTATTTATTTTGTCTTTGTAAAATAAATTTTGTTTACTTCTTCAAAAAGAAATAGCTAACAGCAAAATTCTGAACTGCGTGTTGTCTCCTATCTTATAGAATAATTTCCAAGGCGCATCTAGTTGTTTCTGGTTCTTTTTAGAAGTCAATCTGCTTAACCCTTTTATACTCTTTTTGTAGTGCCAAATTGTTTCAGGCTGGTTTGGCTCCAATCTTGCCAAAGTTGTGGATAACTTAATAGATAAAGCTACAAAAACAAAATGGCTGTTTCCATGAGAGATTTGGATCCAGCTTTCACGGGAGCTGGACAAAAGGCGTATCCTTTATCTCATGAAATATTCAGCATCTTTACAATTGTTGACATTTGCATTTTGGACTTTTCGGTTTTCTAATGAATGCAGTTTGCAATTTATTAGAGAAACAGAACATAAAGACAGCAACTATTACCAGAGTGTTGCTGCTGATGTCTCTTTTGCTCCATTTGCAGTTTTTTTAAGTTTGGATTTATATGGTTTTAATTTTATCTCCTTCTTGGGAAGGTTCATGTTATGATTCTCCTTGACAATGTATAGTGGACTTGAAATATGGCGCATTGAAAACTTTCGTCCTGCTCCTGTCCCAAAGTCCTCTTATGGAAAATTTTTTATGGGAGACTCTTATGTGATCCTGAAAGTAAGTGAATAGATGTAATCCAACTCATCTCTCATGTAGCAATACTTGTGAATTACTCTAGTCATATACTGCAATTGCCAGAAGCTTTATTTGTGGTGGCTGTTTTCCCTAAACATTCAATACTCTACGTTGTCTTTGCTATCATATGAGCCACATGAGATTTTTGTGCAATATAAGTTAATCTAAATGATTTTTAGTATTCTGGATATTATATATTATCTGTTTTATTCTTCATGTAGTTCCTATGGTGTGCATTTTCAATGATTTGAATAACTTCTGAGTTTCTCACCTTTTCTACTTAGACAACAGCCTCAAAAAGTGGTGCTTTGCGGTATGATATCCATTATTGGCTTGGGAAAGATACTTCTCAGGTAAACTCCAAAATTCACACTATTCAAGTTATTGCCTAAGTTTGAATTCTCGGCATATCTTTCTGACATAGGGATCTGTTAAAACAGGATGAAGCTGGAACTGCAGCCGTCAAGACAGTTGAATTAGATGCAGCTCTTGGAGGACGTGCTGTCCAGTATCGCGAAGTACAGGGTCATGAACTGCAAAGTTCCTATCTTATTTCAACCATGTATCATACCTCAAGAGGGTGGAGTTGCATCTGGGTTCAAACATGTTGAGGCTGAAGAACACAAGACACGGTTGTTTGTGTGCAAAGGAAAGCATGTTGTCCATGTCAAAGAGGCAAGTCTATGTGCATAGGTTTCTGCTGATGAATAAATCTCATTGATCTACAGACATATGTGTACTTACAAAAATATTCATGTATGTGCATGTGTGTTTATGCATTTAACGTATATACATACACATGCATCATACATCATACATATGTGTATACCTTAGTTTTCTTTTTCTTTTTAAGTCATTTTTCTGTATTACAGGTTCCTTTTGCTCGATCTTCACTCAGCCACGATGACATTTTTATTCTGGATACCCAGTCTAAAATATTTCAATTTAATGGTTCCAACTCATCCATTCAAGAAAGAGCTAAGGCGTTAGAAGTTCTCCAGTACATTAAAGACACATATCATGATGGGAAATGTGAGATAGCTTCCATTGGTAAGTCAAATTACATGGTGGGAAGTTCAATAATGACAATTAACTATCAGTTTCTCTCTCTGAGTCAATCTTCTTGTGTTTCATGTAGAGGATGGGAAGTTGATGGCTGATGCTGAAAGTGGAGAATTTTGGGGTTTATTTGGTGGCTTTGCTCCACTTCCAAGGAAAACAGCCACCAATGAAGATAAATGTTTTGATTCTTATCCTACCAAGCTACTTTGGTAATTTGCCATCTTAATTTACCCTTTTCTATTACATATATTCTTATAAGGATCTCTGTCATGTTAAGTGCACCTCATTGTTTTTAGAATGGGTAATATGTTACTAGAGAGATTCATAAATGCACTTATGTATGTAGTCATCTATTTCTTTTCTTTCCAACTCTTTGATCCAATTAAGAATCTATTCATTTTCTTCCCTTCCTTTGGACAAAAAAAAAAGTCAGATAATTGGCATCTTCTTTATGATAATGATATCTTCATTTGATATAGTGAAGTTTTATTTGTAATCATGAATTATGATATCCAATTTGTAGTTCTGACAGAAGTACATTTTCCTTTTAAGCGTTGAGAAGGGGAAGGCAGAACCAGTTGAGGCTGATTCTTTGACGAGGGATTTGCTAGACACAAATAAGTGCTATCTTCTAGATTGTGGGTTGGAAATGTTTGTTTGGATGGGGAGAAATACATCTCTTGATGAAAGGCGGAGTGCAAGTGGAGCTGCAGAAGTACTAGTCGTTGCCTTTTCTTTTTTTCTTTCAGCTATCACTATTGCATTTTGATGTACATTCTCAGTAAACCTGGTATTCACTTGATCTCACCATATAGGAGTTAGTCCGCGGTCCTGATCGATCGAAATGCCACATAATTCGTGTAATTGAGGGCTTTGAGACAGTAATGTTTAGGTCAAAATTTGATTCATGGCCTCAAACAACTGATGTAGCTGTGTCAGAGGATGGTAGGGGCAAGGTTGCAGGTCAGTCATTGAACAGCTTTGCTTCTGATTTTTATTTTTATTTCTTTTTCCTTGCAACATATTTTGTTCTTGTGATCCTCACCATCACCCTCATAAAAGAAAAACAAAATCTTACTTCTGCTGTTTCTCATTGTTTCTGCAGCACTCCTCAAGCGTCAAGGGGTTGATGTGAAGGGTCTATTGAAAGCTGATCCTGTAAAAGAAGAACCTCAACCATACATTGATTGCACAGGAAATCTGCAGGTGCTGTATATCGTATAATCCCTTTGTAATGGCTCTTACATAGCAATGCTAGTTCTTGTTCTTCATTTCCGACTCTTTTGGGAAAAATTTCACTTTAACCAAGAACCTATTTTGTCCACACAAGCTCCACAAAGCCAGTTGCCTGCATTTTTTTTCCTTTAAAAAAAATCAAAAATGAAAAAAGACATGGGGAATGTTCCAGGAAAGCTTTCTGTGTCCGATGAGGAAGATATGAAAGACGAAGTGCTTCAGAGTCAATTCATATTCTAACCATAAACCTAAGGGGTTGTAAAATTCTACAAGAATCATCTTGGATTCATCATCAATGAGGGCTTGTGGAAATATCAACAATCATTTAGCGATGCCATATTTTGTTTTTGCTTTAGTTTCATATTAATGATGTGATATTCACTTCATTATTACAAAATGCTTTCTAGGTTTTGAGAAGTACATCTTGGATGAGTCTTAAACCCTTACCCCCACCCTCACCCCTGAGGAACTGAACTAGAGATAAACCTCATGTCCACGTTTTGTTTATGCTGTCATGCTAAGGGTAGCTTTATATTGGTTTGGCAGGTTTGGCGTGTGAATGGGCAGGAAAAGATTCTACTTCCATCTTCTGATCAATCAAAATTTTACAGTGGAGATTGCTATATTTTCCATTATTCATATCCAGGAGAGGATAAAGAGGAGCATCTTATAGGAACATGGTTTGGAAAGCAGAGTGTTGAGGTAATAATTTACCGAGCATCTTATCAATCTTGACACCATGCTCAGAATATCATAAAGTATTCAATGCCTTACAACAATTCCATGAAAAAGCCAGGGAACCTGAAAGCGCCGCTTTTTAAAATTAAATAAAATATCTAGCACTGTTAAGGGTATGACATGGAAATAGGAAACTATTTAAATAAGTTTCTGGTCAAATAAGTGTACATATGATATTCTATTCATGAATACAGTTTTTATAAAGGAATCCTTAACTCAAAGGAGATTTAATGGGAAGGTTCCTTTATAAAACTCAAAAGAGATTTAATGGAAAGGTAAATCCAACTTTTTAAGCCATAATACAGTGTGCATTCTTTGATATGGAATATTCAACTCACCTAGATTCAGCAAAACTATTATTTTAATTACCTGGGTTTTGCTACAGGAATCCTTTGTCACTATGCAGCCCTCTCCAGAGACAAAGGATCTATCTTAGCTCCTGGCATTTGCACTTATTCATTATATCTGTTCATGTGCTTGTGCAAATGGAGGAAACTAAAACCTATGGAAACGTGATTGGTGTTGGGTCATGCATTTGGAATTTACTTGTTTAAATTGAGTTTACATTATTTCCTTGATGCACAATCATGCTTATAGGACATTTTCTCAACTAAAATAACCTTCAGAAGTTACTTGTGTCTTTTGTTCCTCCTCTTTTTTGCAAGCTACATTAGTAAGATATATGTTTGTTCATAAATTTAGCCCATCTAAATGCATCTAGATTGCATGGCTCATGGAAGGCTTACTAAATATGAATTACTACTCAAAATAGGAAGAAAGAGCGTCAGCTATTTCACTAGCCAGGAAGGTGGTTGAGTCATTGAAGTTTCTAGCTGCCCAGGTAGTTTTCCTTCAACTGTAGATGCTATTGTTACACTGATGTATATTTTTGTCCTTATTCCTTCGTTACTTACTGATTATGTTTTTTCACTAATTTCAAGGCTCGTATCTATGAAGGCAGTGAACCAATTCAGTTCTATTCAATCTTCCAAAGCATAATTGTATTGAAGGTTTGTGGATTCCATGATACTAGAGAAAAAGAAAATTGAGAAGAAAAAAAAAGGATTAAGAAACAAACTTCTTGTGTTCAGCATTTATAAATATTTGCATGTTTTCAAATGACCACAAAATGGACTGTGAAATCTGTCAGGGTGGTCTAAGTGACGGATACAAAAATTATGTTGCGGAGAAGCAAGTTCCAGACGAGACATATCAAGAAGATGGTGTTGCATTATTTCGTGTCCAGGGAACTGGGCCAGATAATATGCAAGCAATACAAGTTGATGCAGTAAGTCTCTTCTTTCTTTTCTTCTCCTGGTTCTGTTTGCAATAGGATACTTGTAGGCTATTGTGTATAGTGGGGTGTGTGTGTGTGTGCATATTCCTGTCCTGTATGTGGAAGTTATGTTAACATCATTCCTCCTTCTTTTTTTCCTCTGCTTTTCCCCTTAATCCCTTCCATCAGGTTGCATCATCTTTGAATTCCTCCTACTGCTATATATTACATAGTGGCTCAACTGTCTTTACGTGGTCTGGAGGCCTCGCAAACTCGGATGACCAGGAACTTGTTGAGAGGCAGCTCGATCTGATAAAGGTCCAATATGCTTTATGTTTTCTTTTATTTATAAAAAATGCTGTATAAGATAGAGCTCTCTATGTGAGATATTCATTTGTACGTATCCACAATGGGGGAAAGGCTAGTCAATCTTGCAACATGCAGTGCTACATTCATGCGTTTGTATATTTTGTCACACTTACTCACATGTGAATTACTGCAGAGTTCATTCGGCTGATTTAATTTCTTTTAACATTTATTTAAAGATTTTTTTTTTATTTCATTTATTGATTTTTTTTTTTTTTTTTTTTTTTTTTTTTGTGTGAAGGGGTTATTATGTATGCTATTTAAAAAAATTAAAATTGGATCTCCTTATTAATCTACTGATTTGTCTGCAGCCAAATCTTCAGTCGAAAACACAAAAGGAGAATGTTGAGTCTGAACAGTTTTGGGATCTGTTAGGAGGAAAATCTGAGTATCCAAGCCAAAAGATTGTAAGATCTGCAGAAAGTGACCCTCGCCTATTTTCCTGCACCTTCTCAAATGGTATGAATTTTATCTGAGCTAGAGGGTAACACTTTCATCTGCTCTAATTTCTTTCTTCAATTTGGCTTTAACCATGAAGTTTTTGACTTTTTTCTTCCCTTTCTGTTGTTTTGATCATGACCACACTGCAAATCGATCTTCAGGCAATTTGAAGGTATATATTTTGGTTTATCATTTCTAATCCATAACATGAATGTGAGACTATGATAGCTTCTATGTATTATGAAACGTGCAGGCATTTTTTGAAGTCTAATTTGTACTAGTTTTCATGCGATGTGTTATTATGTATTACATCATAAACCTTATGATTTGTGACACTGCTTCTACAAAAGGCAGCCTTCTCTGAAACCCAAGTACATGAAATTCTTGTGCACCTGTTTTGGACACTCATTTGGATACGTCAAAAAATTCAGCTTCAGTTACTTAGAGAAAAGTTATAAAGATGTTATGTTTTGCATTTTTTACATGAAAATCTACATGGTTATTATTTTTTAATCTTTCATGCTGGCATACTGTCTAACTTATTAAACTGTATACATTAGGTATTTCAATATATGCGTCTACGTTTCTGAGAGTTGACATGTTTGGCACCTTATGAATTAATCAACACATGATAATTGGCAGTTGTGTCTATGTCCATAGATCTTAGCATGAAACAGATTATGATCTCAAGAATGAGATGAATAAATCATCAACTTGCATGGAATATTGATGCTTTCTTGCATCAAAGTTATGCAATCGTACTTTGAATTTATTTCTGCATACAGCTTAAAACGGAAGTAATTTTTGCAGGTAGTGGAGATATACAACTTCACCCAGGATGATTTGATGACTGAAGATATATTCATCTTGGATTGTCACTCAGACATCTTTGTTTGGGTCGGCCAACAGGTCGACTCCAAGGATAGGATGCATGCTTTAACTATTGGGGAGGTATGGCTTTTTAGAATTTGTCTGGATGCAATGCTGTACTTTGGTTCCTCTGCTAGTTAGCAAAACACAAATCTCTCTTTGCCTTTCAGCCTGATGTGCACAGTGCACCGGGAAATAGAAACTCATAAATCTATTTCTATTTTCTATGTATCTTGAAACTTCTATTATTCCACAACATGATGTGCACCATGCACTGGGAAATAATTTTGTATCTGACTTGAGTTAGCTGTATCAACTGTCTTTTAAGATACGGTAACTTTCTTGGAAATTTTCTCAACTGTCTTTTACATCTCTTATTGGTTGTATCAACTCTCTTTAAGATTTCTAATGACACCATTTCTTGGCAATTTTAACTTTCGACAGAAATTTATCGAACATGATTTTCTTATGGAAAAGTTATCTCATGAAGCTTCAATATATATTGTCATGGAAGGAAGTGAGCCACCTTTCTTCATGCGCTTCTTCAATTGGGACTCTGCAAAATCTTCTGTGAGGCGCTATATCATTATGAAGTTGTCACCACAATTTGACATGTTTTCGGCAATCTGATTTTCCTTTCTTTTATTGGGTACAGATGCATGGGAACTCATTCCAAAGGAAACTTTCTATTCTGAAAAACGGGGGTACTCCAACTTTAAATGTAAGCCTTGTTTGGTTGTATTGATTGCATAAGATATTGATCATGAGTAGATACTTCTTTTGACTTCATTTGCATCTATGCTTGGAATTCTCTTTCAACTCCATTTCTCATATCCATTCACATCTTTTGAGTCTATAAGAGAGAATTTTATTAGCATGTGCAATCCAAGTACACAGGAAGTATACAAGAGAGAAAGCCTAGTATAAATACTAATCAATATCAATAGTTGCCCCTTGTTAAGATCTGTGTCGTTAATGCAAGTGTGCCACTACTACATTGTGACTATGCACATGACACTTGTTTGCATCTTGTTGCCAGATTAGTGCTTAGCAATAACTTATTAATTATCTAATGTTTGATTAGAAACCGAAACGGAGAGCACCTGTATCTTATGGTGGAAGGTCTAGTGTGCCAGAAAAATCACAGCGTTCCAGAAGCATGTCTTTCAGCCCCGATCGAGTTCGTGTGAGGGGCAGATCTCCAGCCTTCAATGCATTGGCTGCTACTTTTGAGAATGCTAATGCCAGGAACCTTTCAACTCCACCACCAATGGTCAGAAAGTTATACCCCAAATCTGTGACCCCAGATTCATCAAAATTGGCTTCAAAATCATCAGCTATAGCATCACTCACTGCTGGCTTTGAAAAACCAGGACCAGCAAGAGAATCCAATATACCAAGATCGCCTAAAAGTAAGTACTGGTTAAGCTTCTTCATGTTAGAAATTGTTGCACTTGGTTCCTTGGAGGTACTAAATTTAAAGCACCTTTTCCATGAGTGCAGTGAACTCAGGGGCCCCCAAACCAAAACCTGAGACGAATAACAAGGAGAATTCTATGACCAGTAGACTAGAAACCCTCACCATAGAGGAAGATGTGAAGGAGGGTGAAGCAGAAGATGAGGGTCTCCCAGTATACCCATATGAACGCCTTAAAACAACATCGTCAGATCCTATTACAGATATTGATGTGACGAAACGAGAGGTAACATTTTGGTACTGCATTATAACAATTATAGCATCACAAGTATATGTCTTCAATCCCATCCTTATGTTTTTGAGTGTCGCACAAGCAGATTTACTTGTCATCAGAGGAGTTCAGGGAGAATTTCGGAATGGCAAAGGATGCTTTTTATAAGTTGCCAAAGTGGAAACAGAACAAGCTTAAAATGGCCCTTTACTTGTTTTGAATCTCCCCATGCTCGGCGTTTTCTTCAGCTTCCTGCAGTTTACATTGCATGCGTTGGAATGCTTGCCCAGCAAAACAGTACATAATCCTTGTGAAAACTACAGTTTGGTTATCTTTGAATTACAACTGAGGAAGCATTCTGATTACAGTGCTTTCTTCCTGCAGTGGGGAAACACAGGTTCTCAGGAGTGAAAGGGACAGCATCAGTGCATTTTTAGCTGCTTCTGCTCCCAAGAAGCTTGTTTTCATGATTGGACAGAAACAACAAACAAATTTTCTAATCTTTTTCCCCTCTTTGGCCTTTTGAGTTGGTTTGAATGTCTAGGCTTGCATTTTTGTTAAGTTAGCTTCTTGGTATTCTTTCTGGTCACAGGTTTGTTGTGAGCTTGCATTTTTGTCTTTCATTTTCAATTTTTTTATTCAAAATTTGAATTATTTTTTTTTTGGTTGCTTTTTCTGGATTCAGAAATTGATTTCAGTAGAGCAATTAGGGGGCTTGCATATGCATACTTAGGTTGTGTTGATATCTGAGGGATGACAGTGTGTACAGCAGAGTGTAAAAACCAATCGCTCCTGTTTTGACAATAAAAGTGTGACTTTTTGCCTTTCTTTGTGCCTTCCTACTACTCATATTCTTAGAAATATATTCATTTTTAACCTTGTCAGTTTAACTGAAAATTAATTACAGGTAAATTCTTTAACATTGTTGTGTGGTTCATTACTAAATGAATGCTTTGGCTATGAGTTGATAGGTGATAAGGGGTTAATAAGATTTTACCTCCTGGTTAATTTATCCTCTTCCCTTTAGTCTTCTTAGCAAAATAGATCGGAAAAATGTATTCAGTTTATTTTTTGAACCAGAAATGTAGCAAATAAATTAAATTAAATGGGCTAATGTTTTCATATCATCACCATCCGCCTTTTCCAATTAGCTTCGAGTCATTCAAATGCATCTCTCCTAATATCTCACAAAGTCTCATTCATTGTTTCAAGTAGACCTGTAAATGGATGAGGTTTCTATACGAATTCGATATAAGAGGATTTGAATTTTATGATTTCAATTAGATAACTCATTTATGATCTTAATTTGATAACTTGCTAGCTTCACAAGTCAAACTTTCAGAAATCAAAATTTAAGAGTTAATCTGATCCAATAGTAATCCAGTCCAACTTTCTTTTAAAAAATAAAATAAAATATATCAAAAAACAACTTAATTAGATAATCTCCAACAATACAAAGGTTCTAGGTTCGAGTCCTAGCATATGTGTAATGTGTGTGACAGTGTGAGTTTAGTATATTATCGCTCATCTTAATAGGAAATATCCTAAAAAAAGAAGATAATCTTCAACAACACAAATTAAGATTGCAACAAAAGTAACACACTAAAAATCAAAATGAAAACGAACAAAAACTGCATGAACAACTACTAGCCCACATCACTATAATTAAACATAATCTCAATTAAAGTCCACAAAACCCAACATATATAACTGAAACTCTAAAGCAACCCAAGAGCCTAAAAGAACACTAACTTTGATGGGATAGACATATCCCAGCAAATATGTGTTGCGATAGATCTTTCCCACCGAAATTTTGTCGGGACTATTGAAGTGGAAGGGACTGCACAATATATTATTACTACTCTTGAGAAAGATGGGGAGGATTTGCGTGTGTGGAAGGTCACCTTTTTGAAGAAGCTAAGTGCCTCAAATATTCTTTCGCTCTAATGATATGGCGATATAGCCCCATAGAATGTAATAAGGTGGCTCATTTCCTTTCTAGGCATGCCTTGTTGTTAGATGAGGAAATATTTTGGTTAGAGGAAGAACCTCCATGACTTGCGTCATTGTGATTGGATAATACTCCAAGTTTATCAAATTAATGAAATCTTTCATAATTAAATAAATAAATAAAAGCAAGGTGAAGCTAGAAAACAATTTTTAGAGGGACCAAGAGTGTGAATAGCTTTTGGGCTCTGGAGAAATTTAAAAGAGACAAACAAACGAAAATATGTAATTTATTTTTTCGTTTTTCACAGTAGAATTTAAATTAAAAGGGATAAGACATAATTAAAGTAATTCAAAAGGACTAAGATATTACTTAATTACATATATTAAATTAAAGAAGTTGGCTAAAAAAACAAAAGTAAAGAAACTAATTATATATTTTTTAAATTTAAAAAAAAATAAAACAAAAACAAAACAAAACAAAACTCTCCCGACTAAATTTCGTCGGGAGAGGTCTAATACGGCAAATTTCGCCGGGATAGATATATGCCGACGCCATTTCGTCGGGAGTTATTTTGGGGTATAGCGTCATGGCTATACTCTTAAAATATTATATTTTTGAGTATAGCCGCGCGGCAATACTGTTATAATTTTTCGCTTCTAGCCGCGCGGCTATACTTTTAAAATATTCTATTTTTGGAGTATAGCCGTGCGGCGATATGTTTAAAATATTCTATTTTTGGGGTATAGCCGCACGGATGTACTATTAAAATATTATATTTATGGAGTATAGCCACACGGCTGTACAATTAAAATATTATATTTATGGAGTATAACCGCGTGGCTATACAGTTAAAATAATCTATTTAAAGAGTATGCCCACGCGACTATACGCTTTGAATGTATTGTGTTTTAATTACATTTATTTATTTAGTGAAGAATTAGTATTTAAATATTATAATTAATTTCATAAAAATTACTTAATTAATACTAATTAATTATCTTGAATAATTTTGTGGAATTTAAAATTATTTAAAAAATAGTTTCAATTATTTAAAAATTCTAGAAAATTATTTTAATATTCTAAAAATGGAATTTTAGTGTCCAAACCCTAAATCCAAGTCTCGAACCAAAAACCGTAACTTTCGAATTTATCCAAACTTGTTCCAGAACTGTTCGCAAGCCTCGAACCCTAACTGTAAACCTACTGTTGGGCACTTAGGACTCAATTAGGCTTGGATAATCACATAACTCGACCTAAGGCTTTACGATTTAGGTTTTGCTCTCAATCTTGGGTTAGTATGACGTAACCAAACCTAACCTAGACATGTCTTGGCAAATTTTGTCAAGATAGACCTAGCTCGGCGAACTACCACCACCTAAAGAAGCTTCGTTGCGGTCACACCCACCACCACATATACTCTTTAAGCAAAAACAAACCATGTGATAGGTCTGGGGAAAACATGGTTGCCAACAATCTAATTGTGCATAACAACGAACAAATATGTCAATCCAGCAATCATGGAAAAAAAAATAATTGGGTAGATTGCATCGTATTAGAACTAAATTTAGAGAGTAGGAGAAGTGTTAGAGAGGGATTTTTCGAGAAAGATTTTATTAAGGACCCAAAAACGGTTATAAGGAACTTCAATATCAGTATGGCTCAGAAGAAATCACCACAAAGGGTTTCTTATTCAAAACACCCAAGAATACGATACCAAAGCACTTAACAAATGTGCCCCAATAGTCAGTTATAGGGGTAGGCATTTGAATCAATGAACTGAGTCGAAAAAAACCGTGTTCACCAAAAAGTGAACCTAGGCTCAAAAATCAAACTAGACAGCTTTAGATTGGTTCAAGTCCCGATTCTTGTCTTGAAAAAATCAGTTCATATGTTAACTTATTCATTTATATCCAAAAAATGTAGTAAGCCTAATTAATATTCGAATCACATTAGTAACCCAAAGTAATACTTAAATATTTAAGTCTAATTAATACTCAAATGTCTTAGTTCCAATTTATATACCCAACTAAATAACAACTCTAACCCAACTTCTTTTTCTTTTCAATGAACCATATCCGTTCTTGATGTGCTTTCGTCTTTCTGTCTTTTCTACCTATTTCTGTCTATTTCTCTTCATCTTTGTCTCTTATTTTATCTTGTTCTCTTCTTCCTATTTGTTTCTATTTCTCTTCCTCTTTATCTATTCTACCTCTCTCTCTTATTTGATCTCTTCTAGCTCTTGTTCTCTTCTTCCTATTTCTCTCTTCTTCAGATTTTCATATTTTTGTTTTTCCAAACTGGAAACCGGTCGAACCAAACTGGAACTACATAGGTCCGATTTGGTTCGGTTCTTCTAGACACTCTATGAAAATAAAACCGAATTAGATTGCGTATAAGTTTGAATTTCGGTTCCAATTTGAGAGAAAAACCAAAACGAACCTAACTGCGCCACTCCTAGTCAATTATGTGTTAGTCAAGTGTAAGGTATACGTCTAGTAAAGAAAAAATGGTAACACACCATACAGTATTAGCGAACTCGCTGCACTTGGGTTTCACAGTTGACATGAACATGAAAACTTTGAAGAAGCCTTGATGCTTATGGCCTCGTTTGAGATTAGTTAATCATTAATCGTGTTTTCATTTCTTGATGAACTATAATACCATAAAATATCGAAAGGATTGCCGAAAGGAAGGATGAACATGATGTCAGTTCATGTTATTTTATGTTTGACACTAACTTAGTTTGTTTATTATTCATGTTAGCACGATAAGTAATTTAAGAGTTTGCATTAAGTAGACATTTAAACTTTAATGGGGTTGAAGAATGAGTCCTTAGGGAACGTAACTCTTATTCGTATTTCACGCTATAAATAATTACTATTTTAGTATTTGGAAATTCTAAGTTACGAGCATACGTGGGTTAGGTCAGTTGGCTAGGATAGTGAGCCCGCTCCCTTGCACTCATGTTCGAATCACGGATAAAATACGTATGTGTATTATTTGGCAAAATTTAAAAAAAAAAGTGAAAATTTTAGCATTTTATATATTTTTAATATTATATATTAATTTTTTTAATGTATAATATTTTTATTTTAATAATTTGTGAAAAAATGTGAATGTTACATGTATTATTTTAAAAAAAATTGCATATTAAATATGAAGAATACGTACCTACATGGATTATCCATTTCATTTTAAAAATTGTATATTTTACTGTAATTTTCAAAAGTGCATAAAAAATAATTAATATTAAAAGTACGTACATACATACAAGGTGAAAAACCAGATGGAAGGATATTTCATAGCCATATGAAACTTTCCAAAAGTGTTTGTGCCAACTATGAGAATGAAGTTTTTATCCAAAAAAACAAGAACCATAACCATAATGGAATCGCATACCAATTCATATAGCCTCCCTCCATCCATGGAGTGCAAACGAGGCAAACTTCTAATAATGTGTGTGCGGCTCCCAAAATTGACACCGCTGTAACTATTTACGACACCCAAGTCGCACCAAAATTCTTTCTTTAATTCTAAACAAGAGACAAGAGGAAAGGAAGTTTCATGAGAGAGAGAAACGGCTTTCCTTATTTTCTTGACACAAACTTGACAGTTGCTGCTACTACAAAATATAACACCCTCTCTCTCTCTCTCTCTCTCTCTCTCTCTATAAATAAGCGTCGGGCAACAAGAACCAGAAGAAGAAGCGGAGAGCGATCGATCGATCGTGAGAGAGAGAGTTTCAGAGTATGAGTAGCGATAAGGCTCCCATTGCTGCTGCTTCTGCTTCTGCTGCAGCAGCCACCAATGCGTTGAGTGGTAGTAGCGGCAGTGGCGGTGTTGCTGCTGCTAATGCCAATGCGAAGCTTCTTCATCCTGGCGCTGAATTCAGCAAGGGCATCAATGGCCTCGAGAAGGTCGTCCTCCGTGATCCGCGTGGCAGTGTTGCCGAGGTAACCCCGCTACTACGACGTCGTACGATCCTTTATACCACAATTTCCGTTCGGTTTATCATTTTATGCGATTGAGATCTGATTTTTGCTTGCTCGATTACGGTTTTGTATTGGAGAAATGATATTCTTTGATTAATTTTCGTCTTCTTGGCTTTTCTTTCCTTTCCGATTGTTAATTTGAATTTCGCTTCCATTTCGTGAATCTAGGGTTTCTTGAATTGCTTTGGTTTGATTTTGTATTTTTTAGTTTCAATTATTCATTTTTAGATCTGTTTTGGTGAAGTTCTCGATAAGGAAATGGTGAGGAGTTATGATTAATTGATTGCAGGTTTAATCTGATTTAGAAACTATTCTTTTAGAGGCAAATAATATGCTTTCCATTGATTTCCGCCATGCTGGTGAGAGTTTCGGGCTGAAATCCAGTTTCAATTTTTCTTGTCACTCCCAATTAGTTTCTGTTTGGTCATATTTGAAACTAGTCTTTGAGGTCGATTCATATTATGGAATGACTTTCTTTCCTTTTCTGAGTAAAATTTAAGTCTGATATTTGAGGAATAATAGGTCCACCAATAGCATTCAGGGCTGCCAAAGGTTGTTAGATTCATAAGCATTAACTAGATTTGAGAGACAGCAGTGTTTTTGTACTTTGAAAAAAGATATTTGTAAGTAGATGCAGATGGTATAATCTGCAGTTTCTGTGCTATATTGTTAGGATATGAAATGAAGAAGTTTGAGAAACTTTGCACTGAAATAGTTCTAATTTACAAATTCTCATTTGATTGCATACTTAGAGTATGGTAATAGCTTATGATAATTGTGATAGTTTATTAATATTTTGGGCATGCAATGTATTGACCTTAGGTGAAGTATCCAATGATGTTTAATTCCTCATTTAGAACCTCCATTTGGTTCACTTCTCTCTTGATCACGCTTGAATTTGGATACATTTGCTTAAATTTTTACTTTTCCTTTTTTATTTGTTCATGCAAACTAGATTATTTTGTTGATGTTAGAATCCAACAGTAATATATGTAGTGGTTTCGCACCCTGATTTAGTTTCATTCTGCTTAGTTTCAGTTTATACGGCTGTTTTGGCTTTTCTTAAAAGTTGTTAAAATAATGTATTGTTTTCTACTTTTCTGGTTGATAGTCTTTTTTTATTATGAAATTTCATGCTGCAGAATCATATTCCTTAATGCTGATTTCAATGGTCTTTCGCTTCTTTTATTGTCATATAATTGTTTCTGTTTGGGCTTTCCAGGTGTATTTGTATGGGGGTCATGTAACATCATGGAAGAATGATCATGGAGAGGAATTGCTATTTGTTAGCAGTAAGGTACTATGCAGTAATTTGATGTTAATTCTCTCTATTTATCATTTTGTTTTTGTAGAAGTAAATTGTGTGGATTGTAATTACAAACCTTTGAAAGGGATGTCTGTGCATGCATTCATTTTAAGTTTGTGATCCATAGAAGATTGTGAACAATGTTATTTTGGTAGTACATTTTGTGGAGTGAGCAGCCGTACGCTGTAATAATGCTTTGTCCTCCATATTTTGTGTATGAACTCTGTTTGCCTCTTATATTTTTATGCTGGCTATAAGATTTTGTCAAGTTGCATTACTTAATTTTATGCACTCTTTGGAGGAGATCTTCATGTTTATTATAGTTTCTTCGAAGTCTTTCGTAATTGCTTTCTGGGCTTTCCAGTTTTGAATTGTCCCTCATCCATGTTTTATCTTGAAGGCTAAAATAAAAAGGAAAATTCTTTTAATTCAAAATGATTTCGAAAGAAACGTTTTTGCTATAACATACTGGGTGAGCTGACTTTTATGGTTTCTGTGAAGGCTTATGACCTTTATTTTCATTTGCATCATTTGTCTAGAAATTATGCACTTTTTTTTATTGTCTAGAAACCCTAGCAGTCATTTACCAATGGGAAGGGGTCTAATAGTGCCTTTTGGCATCTTTCTTCCTCGCTTTGAATCTTGTCTTTATTTGCTCAACCCAAAAATCATCTGAAGTGTTTAATTGCCTTTTTTTTTCGTCCTGCAGGCTATATTTAAGCCTCCAAAAGCTATTCGTGGGGGAATCCCAATATGCTTTCCTCAGGTATGCAGTTCTTTCTAATTGTCTTTCTTGCTTGATTTGGTTGTTCATCTTGGTGACAGGAACTTGCCCACTGTGCAGTTTTCAAATCTTGGTTCTCTTGATGCACATGGATTTGCTAGAAACAGATTTTGGAGCGTTGACCCTGATCCATCTCCTTTTCCAACAAATACCTCCAATAAGGTTGCTGTTGATTTGATCCTTAGGCCTAGTGAAGAAGATATGAAGACCTGGCCTCACAGGTAAAAACTGGGAAAAGGTTCTAATTGGAAGCTCCCTAATCTTCCAATTTTTCTTTGTTATTAATACCAAGGTTCTCTTTACTGACTTTGTGTTGAATTGAAGTTATGAGTACCGACTACGGGTAGCTTTGGGACCTGGAGGAGATCTGACGTTGATATCTCGCATCAGGAATACTAACTCTGATGGAAAGCCATTCTCGTTCACATTTGCATATCACACTTATTTCTCTGTTTCAGATATCAGGTAATTTACATACTTTATTTATGTTCGAAATGCTAGTTATTTTTACTCTTCATTCTCATTTAATGTAGCTTGATTTATGTCTGAAACCATGTCAATGTAGAACATGTAGCTTGATTTATGTCTGAAACCATGTCAATGTAGAACATGTAGAACATGTAGGTTATTTTTACTCTTCATTCTCATTTAATGTAGCTTTATTTTCTTTTAAACTGTAGGCATAGATTGCATGCAATGTAGAACATGTAGTTATGAAAGTGTACCCTGTCATATACTGAAGCTTGTGCTTTTCGTTGCATATGGATGGATACTTTATAAACCTAACCAAATTTTAAAACGACATTTAGGAAGTGCCACTTAATATTAGACAGATCTTATGATTAACTGCGAATTTTGTGCAATACAACAGTTTAAAAGAAAAATATTTGTCTCTGCCTTTTCTATTGATCGTTAATATACCAACAGGAACTACAATATTTTTGTGCTTGTCCTCACTTCCATAGCCATTTTCATGTAGCATACAGTTGGTAATAAACCTGCAGTTCCGGATGGTATTTAAATTTGGTTAGTGCTTGTGTTCAGTGAAGTTCGTGTAGAAGGATTGGAGACCTTGGATTATCTTGACAACTTGCAGAACAGGAAACGTTGCACTGAACAAGGTGATGCTATAACATTTGAATCAGAGGTAAGTTGTAGATGCCATTATTTTGTTTCTTTTCTGCATAGGTTAATTTGGTTCTAATTCTTCTCACTTTGTTTTTCTGAATGATAATAGGTTGACAAAATATATCTCAGCACTCCTACAAAGATTGCAATTTTGGATCATGAGAAGAAGAGAACATTTGTAATACGAAAAGATGGTCTTCCAGATGCTGGTGAGGATCAATATATTCATCTCCTTTCATAGTGATGTCATTGGTGCTTGAGGTTTTTAATTTTTAATTTTTATGTTATACTGAAGGTACAAGAAATTGTGTGTGCTCTGAACTTTTTTACATTTTAAAACATTAATATAATAACTTCCATTAAATGGCTGCTCGTACAAGTGACAACACTTAACCCTAGCCATGAATAATGGAAGATCATTGTGGTATTGTCACAACTAACCAGAGAACAGGTTGAATTGCTCTATATGATGACTAGGATCAGTGGTACTCTACTTCTTTTGTTGTCCATGTGCTCTCAAATATCCTGCTTGGACTTAACTAATTTATGAGTTGATAGTGATAATAAGGATGATGGACATTTTAAATCACTCAACAATAAGTTAATAACAGACCCTTGCTCCAGCTATTTGGGGTGGGTGATATGTAACCCGGTCCTCCATTTCGTTGTCTTGTCAGCCATATTTTCATTATAACTCCTACAGTCATATCTTTCCTATATCTTCACCCATGTTATTTTTGGCCATTATGTTGATTAAGTCACTCTTTCTAACTGGTGCATCTATTGATCCTCATTGAATATGTCCGAACCGCCATTGCTGGTTCTCTGATTTCATTTCAGGTTAATGACGTGAGAGGTTTTTGTCTAAGAGTTATGATGTTAAATACCTGCCCTCATAGTAGTGCTTGGAATTTTACTCTGTACTGTATATTGATTAGTTTGTTTCATCCAGTGGTGTGGAATCCCTGGGATAAGAAGTCGAAGGCTATGGCTGATTTTGGAGATGATGAGTACAAGCATATGCTGTGTGTGGAGGCTGCTGCTATTGAGAAACCTATCACACTGAAACCTGGAGAAGAGTGGAGAGGAAGGCAGGAGCTTTCAGCTGTTCCTTCCAGTTACTGTAGTGGGCAACTTGATCCTCGAAAGGTTCTCCAGGGCAGCTGAAAGTTCCATCATTCTGGCCTATATTTTGTACAGGTACTTCTGCTGACAGTTCAAAAGTACTAAATATCTGATGATACATTTGGTGCTGGCCTTTGACTTCGTTGTTTATGGTTTGATGCATCGTGTAGGCCTTCCTTGAAATATCAATACACAAGCGTTAGAATGCATTGGTACTTATTTGGCTTGCGAATATGCTTATATCATTTTTTGCTTGTTTTGTTATCTGATTGGATGGTAACTATTTTGTATGATCAGCTCTCGTTATACTATTTGGTAATGAACAGTAACTGTATGCTTCTGTTCTTTTCTCTAATGAAGTCTGTTAGTAAGCAAAAAAGAAGAGAAAATTGACTACTAACGATTTGTTTTGAAGGAGGCAGCCAAACCTTTGTTTACTTTTCTATGGAGAATACTCTGTTCAAAGAAACTAAGAACAGGATGTTGGTGCATCAATTTTTAATTTATGTGATTTCGCTTACGGGTTATGGTTACGGAGTAAATTGGTGGTGGATAGTTTGGAGGAAAATTAGGTATTTTGCCTTATGATGGACTTAGGTTTCAGCTGTTTTTGAGGGAACTTCCCAGAGCTCTCTTTTCAGGGGTTGGAAGAATGTTTTTTAGGACTGGTTGTTTTTACTTGATATGTTGTATTGTTAGCATCAGATGGACTACTAGTCCTTCAATCATTTTATACTCTACCTCTTTTGGCAAAGTTACTCTTCCTTCTCAAAAAACTGCATCTCATGTGAATGTGTACCCTTTTATGTGAAATTAAAATACATTCCATTTTATTGCATTTGATTGTGATAAAGCATAAAAGTTTGATACTATTTTCCATACCGTCTCAACTATGTTAGGTCCTATTTTTTCTGGTTCCAATAGTCAATCTTTCTGTGTGGCATGTGTGCTTAGGCATGTTTGTGCATACACTGCTCTTGCCTGATTGTGTATGCAATTGCATTATCTAGAAAGTCTTTCTTTGAATCAGAGTAGATAGATAGTTTCGGAGCTTTGTAAATCACCCACTAGCAGAACAAATTTCATTTGTTTTAATTCATATGATCCCAAATATTTTGGTAACATATGTTTTATTGTGCAGGTATTTTGTTGCAAATGTACATGGGTCGGGACAAGAAATTCTGCCCACTATTTTCGCTCTGAAATTTTTCTTGTGTTGGGTGAAATGATGGATTCATGAGTACATAGGACTTGAGATAATATGTTTTTGTTTAGTGGATGACATTTTCTGTTAAGACTGGAACAAACCTGAGTACAATGTCACACTTGCTATGGTGGATGAGAGATTACATGTTTCTATTAAATGAAATCTCTTATATGGGTATGGGTTGATAGTAGATATTCTCCTCTTTCCGTTTCTGTTGCATCGTATTTTGAGGTCTAGTTTAGTGTATAGATTCCTCCAAATGGAAGCGATCTAACTTGAAAATGCGATGTGAAATTTGGACATGGTTTTCAGAAATTTGGCAATTTCTGGCCATATTTCAGCGAAACATAAAATTCGAATGTTATGTTCGCCAAAAAAAATCCCAATGTTATTAGTGATTGTACAAATTTCCACTGGATGTGCCATTGAGCCCATGGTCTACAAGACTAGGCTTGTGAAATGCATCCACTTTAATGGTAGATGTGTCATCAAATCTGTCTTGCAGCTCTAAAAAGAGTGAAGAATCTGTGTTTTTGTTTTGTATATTTATTGCATTTTTAACTCCACTAGTGGTTTCAAAAATCAAGTTTTAATATATCTACTATATGAAGCTAAAAAATTACTCATCCAACAACATTTAGGGCATGTTTGGAAGTGATTATGAGCACTTATGGGGAGAAGTATTTTTCACATGCTTCTCCATAAAATCACTTGTATGGAGAAGTGATTATCCATAGAAGTGATCATTGACCTATTTAGAATCACTCCCAAACGAGAACTTAATGTGGTGGTAATCGTTGACCTATTTAAAATAATGATTTTGTTGTTCAAGTTTCAATTTTTAAAACCCGAATAGTAATCTAGCCATTTTCTATTTAAATGTACTTCAAATAAAGTTATTGACCACTTTTTCAAACAAATAATATATCTTTTTAGTATATACATAATTATAAAAAAGATTGAAATGAAGTTGTAAACAAAAAATTACAAACAAAAATGCAATACATAAGTCAAATTTGGTGTGAACCCATACTGGCCCGTCACAAACCCAACCCGATTCCATATGGGCTAGGACCATGGGCATGGAGGATGAGGCATGCACCAAGAATTGGTGACTGGATCCGTTGATGGAGTATTTGAGGCATTTTAGGTGAATAGGATGGTTAGGGTAGTGCTTGAGCTGAGGACCTACAAGGGTCGAACATTTTTGTGTTTTTGAGATGGGAAATAAAGTAGAGGCAAGAAGAAGGAAGGAGAGAGATGAGAAAGAATTGAGTTGTGGAGCTTGGTTACTAGCACCTAAGGAGGAGGAGGCAGAGGGGGAATGTATATAAAGTGGAAAGGTAGGTTAATTTAGAGGTTGCATGGGTGAGGCCTAATGTATTAAAAGTGAGGGTTTTTTGGTTTTTTAGTATTTGAATTAAGAACGGGGTAATGTAAATTGGTAAGGAATCTAATTTTTGAATTTAAAGATAAGGTTTGGATTAGGGCCAAGATAATAAATCTTTTTAGTATATACATAATTATAAAAAAATTTAAATGAAGTTGTAAAAAAAGCAATACATAAGTGAATTTTGGTTTGTGAGTATATCGGCCCGTTATGAGCCCGACTTGATCTCATATGGGCTAGGGTCGTGGGCTTGAGCCAAGCGTGACAATTTTCAAAAAAGAACAGACCCGTTTATTAAATGGACTGACACTAAATGTGCCGACACGTTCCATTTGACACCTTTGTGTTATAGGGGCCCAGTATGCATCAGTGTGACCTTCAACATCTAGATGCCCATGTCGTGAGAACATCAATCCTCTTCCAAGAGCTGACTTTAAGTATCTCATAATTCGATTTACAGCATCCATGTGGGCTTCACTTGATGCATGCATGAACTGACTCACCACACTTACGATATATGCTATATTAGGTCTAGTGTGTCCTAAATAGATTAACTTAGCCACAGAGACGTGGTTTGAGATTTGGTGTGGATTACATGGTGAGGAGAGTGGTCAATGTCTGAAATGGAGTTTGATATTGAAGAGTGGTGGATGGTGTTCTATTTATGACGTAAACAGCACAACAAATAGCCTCCCCCAAAAATGATGGGGCATAAGAGCCTCAAATAAAGAGGCATGAACAACTTCCAAGAGATGAAGATTCTTACGCTTTGTGACACCATTTTGTTGTGGTGTATAGGCACATGTGGTTTGATGAATAATACAATGTTGGCTCAAAAAATTAAGTCATGGTTGACATACTCTCCTCCATTGTTAGAAAGAAGTGTTGTAATTTTCTTGTCAAATTGAGTAGCAACATATTGATGAAATTGCTTGAATTTTGCGGTGACTTCACTTTTCTTCTTTAAGGGAAAAACCCATGTCATTCGGGTGCAATCATCAATAAACGTCTAAAACCACAAAAGGCATAGAAATTTTATTCAATCTTCATGGGTAAGAAATACGATGGCCTTTTGCCAAAATGCAAGTTTTACAATGAAGTTTGATTCAACAAACTTGGAAAACAAATATGGAAATAAAAGTTTCATATAACCAAAAGAAGCATGCCCTAATCTTCTATGTCATAGCCAAATTTTCTTCATCCTCATAGACTCGTCTCCTCGCACATGATGTGCGTGACTCAATCTCTTACTATCGGCTTCTGTCAAGTCCAGATAATACAACTTTCTCTTCCTAGTACCATATCCAATCATGGCCCTGGTGAGAAGATCCTGAAACAAACAATGCAATGACCAAAAACACATAGTATAATTAAGGGAATCAATGCTTTGAAGAACAAATAATAAGTCATAGTCGAGTTAATGGACAACTAAGACATGATCAAGACTTAATGTAGATGTAAGGGATAAAGACCCTTCTCCCATAACTTGGGAGGTGGTTCCATTGGCATTGGTAATATGTGTTTGGCTTGATGGTTTTGTGGAGTGCAACTCAATAAAATTAGATGTCATGTGATCAGTAGCGTCAGTGTCAATAATCCATGATCTATTACAAGTAAGTGAAGATGTGTAAGAGGTACCTAAGGTGGCCAAGGCCTTGAAGCCAGATGTACCTAATGGAGGTTTTGATGCAGTCTCTTGGGATGACTCATCGGATGCAAATGAGGCTCTAGTCAAATCCTTCTTTCTCTCTTTGTGAAACCATCCTTCTATATAACCAATAATCTCATAACAACCCTTAATTGTATGGTTGTCTAAACCACATTTGGTACACTTCATTGGAGGCCGACTACCAGTAGGGTTGGCACTGTGATTGTTCGGCCGAGATTGCTTGGACCTGGCAGCAGCCAAGGCTGTGGCGTCGGAGGTTACACTAGCTTCAGACATGGTTCCTTGTCGGTTACTCTCTCTTTTAATATGTGCATATGTTGCCTCAAGTTCAGGTTTAGGCTCCATCCTCAAAATCTCTCCTCAAATTTGATCAAAATTATTGTCCAAACCTACAAGAAATATATAAATTCGGAGACGATCAATCTCTTTGCGTCTAGTTTCAATGTCTTTTGGATGCTCCATATTGCTTGGACTTAATTGATCAAGCTCTTGAAAAATCTCAGTGAACTCACTGTAATATTTAGCAACTGATGCACCATTCTGCTTCATTGTGAATGACCTTCTGTGAATGTCATAAATCGTGGCTTCATCAGCACCATCTGAATAGGTTTGCTTGATTGCATCTTAGACTTGCTTTGCTGTGTCAAAACGGATAAACAGTTTAATTTACTAAGGTTGCATTGCCTCGAATAACCAACTCTTGACTTGGTAATCCGATGCACCATTTATTAAATGTGGAATTTGTGGTTGCAGGCTGGGCAATATCACAAGTCAAGTGGCCATGTTTTTCTCGCCCAACTTTCTTCATCTCTATGACTGGATGCCATAGAGAATAATTATTCTCATCTAGTTTGATTCTTGCTGAGAAGTTGGAGGTGTCACTCTGCAAAGTGACGATTTGTGTGGTAGTGTTGAAGCCTCGTGACACCAAGGATTGGTGTTTGTTGATCCATCATCGTTGGCTATGATATTGGCTTACAAGTAATGAGAAAAAGACAAACAAAAAAAATATTGGGCTGAGGGAAAAGCAAAGAGAACGGTGGAAATTGATTTGCAAAGGATGAGAATAAAACAAAAAAGTGATTTGACTAGAGGGAAGGTAAAATCAAATTGGTTTGTGATATGGAATATGGGCTGGTACTGTGTTGTCTACTTGTTGAATGACGTGAACAATGATCTGAATGTTTAGAGTCGAATTGGTTTGTGATATGGAATATGGGCTGGTACTGTGTTGTCTACTTGTTGAATGACGTGAGCAATGATCTAAATGTTTAGAGTGAAGGTTTTTGTTGGGTTTGTATGACGGTTGCTGCTGCAAAAGTGATTCTTAGGGTTAGGTCAAGAGACAGTCATGATCGACTACTCTAATACCATCTCAGATTGGGTGAAATAATATTTCATTGATATGCCAATGTACAACAATAGGAAGAATATATATATATATAGGGACTAGGAAACTATTCTAAAAATGTAATTATGAGCCTATAATCTTGTAGAATCAAATAGTTGACTTAGAATAATTAAGAATGTACAGCGCATTAGACACTCCCCCTCAAGTTAGAGCATGTATGTCGTCAATGTCCAACTTGCTAAGTGAACTGTGAAATACTCTGCATGTGACTACTTTGATGAGGACATCTACAAGTTGATCTTTGGATTTAACAAATGGTACCTCAATGATCTTTGCCTCGAGTTTCTCCATGATGAAATATCTGTCAACTTCAACAGTTTTCTCAAACACCTCCCTCTTTTCTCATTGGTGGTAAGCAAAAGTGGTGTCCTACTTCTCAAAATTGATAGAAGATTACTTGCTGAAGGACTTGAAATTATTAACCCCAACACTCGAACTCATATATCCATTCCCAAATTCATTTGTCCACCGACCAAACGCAGCCTAATAATGAAAAAGGTTAGTAAAACTTGCACTTCACCGATTTGAGTTAGAGACGCAAGCTCCGAGTCGTCTGGCCTTAATTTTACTTTTCCAAACTAAATGAAAGTTGACATAACCAGTACAACCATGTGAGCTTCAAATGATTAATGTTTCATGGACTAAGATAAAGTCAACAATAGTGGTCATGTATCCTAAGGACGACGGTATTATCTTCAATAGGAAATGAATCTGATTATATATTTATATTGCTGCCAGCCATTGTCACGGAATAATAGCCTTACACGTTATGCTTGATATTATGCTGATAAACACTGTTTTATTAATTCAGACCAAAAACATAAAATTTAAATTTAAAAAAACAGTATTTTATTACCAACTTGCGCAAGTTTGGCACCAATTAGTGACGTAGGGATGTTGGATGTACTGTCCTCGTCTATTAATTAATTATAAGTAGAATTGGATGTGTGTAACTAAGGCTTTTGTCAACAAGCATTTTATGGGTTATAAAAACAATATTTTTTAATTTTAAAAATATTTTTTTAATTTGATTGATATCTAAGAACGATTGCAGCACAACTAGTAGCCTATAATTGACCCTTTTTTTTTCTTTTTCTAAATTTGACTTTATTAATTTTATGGCATTATTCAAATTAATATCAATCCACTTGGGTACTTTACTCAAATTGATATCGGAATTATTTACTTCGTTTTTTTATAATAATTAAAATTATATAAATAAAATAAAAAAATAAAAACTTATTTCCACTTTCTCCATCAACCAGCTGTCCAAACCAGCCTAAAATGCAATTTCTTTTTTTAAAGAAACCAATAAAATTTCTCTCAAAAAAAAAGGAACCAATAACCAATAAAATTTTATTGAAAGAGGAAGTAACCAATACAAGGCAACTTTAGATTAAGGCTTAGAGTATTAAGGAAGCATCTCTACATATAAGGGTTCGTTCGTCAGTCTCAAGTAATCTACCCTCTTTCTCGAAAGCGATTTAGAGTAATTGCATGGTATAGTACTGAAATATGGAATTAAAAAATGGCATACCAACAAACAAGTGGTAGTGGATCTCCACATTTTTTAATTGGGTTTGTGGATAAATTTCCATATTCAATGTACATTCTTGTCTTTCTCATGAAATTCTAGCAAGTCTTAAACTCTAATGTTTCCTTTTTATCATAACCAAATAATTGTCATACAATTTCATGAACTTCTCATACCCTTTCCAACCCTACCATACAAATTTGTATCTCTTTATAACTTGCTCTCCATTTGCCGAAACATCATGCTATATATATATTTTGCCTCGCTTCAACCTCTGTCTCACTCAATTCACTACTAAAATTGCTCTATCATCATGTCATTGGTTGCTAGAATGAATTCAAAAGAAATGGAATCACAGCTGCAATGGAAAGGCACAAATAAGAAAGAAAATATAGACTCGAGAGCTAGTAGGTAAAATGTACATAATTAAAAATTGACGTAGCATATTAAAAATTGACATATCATATAATTAGTAAAAATCTATTACTTCGGGGAATGGACATTCTATTTCTATAGGAATATCCATTCCTTTAATATTGTTTTCTTAATGAAATGTGTATTCACATTTATTCTAGGTTCATTTCTAGAAGCAAATGTCACTGTCAAATTATATATATTGCAAATCTTATAGAGTGAACTTGAGATCTCTACTCTCTCGCTTATTTTTGGTTCAAGTAGCTTCTATTTCTTCAGGTGACTAAACATAGACCATCGCTTGTATTAAAAAAGAAAAAAAGCATAATTTATTCGAATAATATAAACGGCTTCTCTTTTAGACAATGTAAGAACGTTATGTAGTATATGCCATGGTACAAACTTACGCGCTCCCCATCCCCCAAAATATTTCCGAAACCCTCATAGCCTTAGTATATTATAACACGATGCAGAAAAGTTTCACTCATGAAACCCAATCTTGTATATGCCAAAATACATAATTGGTCCACATTTAACGGCTTGAACTCATATAATTATGAGAACACAAGACGACATGCTAGGAGCTTTTAAAATAAATAAATTCTCATCCTAATATTCACGTTCATAAACAGTGTGCCCGTGCTCAAGTTGATGATAACTTTCTTTTTTCTTTTCATTTGTTTTGGATGAGGACGAGGGATTTTGAGGGTGGTTGGGAATTAACATGCATTTGAGTTGGCATATGGGTTTGGAGTCACATTGCCACCTATCTAAAGATCCAAATTGTTCCAAGATTAATTAAAATGAATAAGGTGTCCTTTTAGTTGTCACCTTTTAGATGTCCAAATGCCTATGTATTTTTCGGCTGTCATGATCCTTCAAACCCTGAAGACATAAAGAAATATTTATCCAAGTTTCTTCCTAGCTAGGGTCCAATCATTTTTGTGAAACCTATTAACCAATTTTGTGTAACTACTTTCCATGTGCTAGAACATGCCATAAAATAATGTCAGCTCTCTTCCACCCCTATCTCCAACCTCAGAAGAAACCTTATATATATAATATAGTTGCCAGAGTGTCTAAGCGAAGGTCCAAGGACCACTGTTCTTTATTTTTAACAGCACCACTTTTCCTATATGCTTTTGTTTATGTCAATCTTGTACAACCATATAGAATTATTGTATAAATAGGCAGCAAATTAAGCACCAACAGCAAATTAAAGAAAGAGACATGGAAGCTCGCAGTTGTATTGTTCTCTCAGCTTTTCTCATCCCTTTTCTGCTTGGAACAGCTTGTGCTCAACTTAGGACAGATTTCTATAAAGGCACATGTCCAAATGTTGAGTCCTTGGTCACCTCAGCTGTCAAAACCAAGTTCCAGCAGACCTTTGTGACTGTTCCAGCCACTCTAAGACTCTTCTTCCATGACTGCTTCGTTCGGGTTAGTAGCCAGTCCCATTCGAATTCTAACTTTCTGTTTTGATACAATTGTTTTAGGCTCATCAGCTTTCCAACCAAGTTGGTGCGTGGTTAATTTAATGTACTGGATTTATTGTTACAGGGTTGTGATGCTTCGGTGTTGGTTCAATCACCGACGAATCAGGCGGAGAAGGATCATCCCGATAACCTTTCGCTAGCTGGAGATGGATTTGACACAGTGATCAAAGCCAAGGCAGCGGTTGATAGTGACCCTAACTGCAGAAACAAAGTTTCATGTGCAGATATTCTTGCTCTGGCAACTAGAGATGTTGTAAACCTGGTATGGAAATTCTTTTTTTTCCCGTTAGTTTCTCTTTTCAATTTAGTCTTTGTTGCCATCAAAGTTGGACAGAAGCAAAGAAGCTTTTTGAATTTAAGCAGCCAATGACTGCGACATAAAGTTACGTCTGTAACTACCACCATTATGTAAATTATTTATATATATATATATATATATATTCGAATAATCCTTTATGTTTTGTTGTTTCATGCAGGCTGGGGGACCATCTTATACAGTTGAATTGGGGAGGCGTGATGGAAGGGTATCTACTATTGCCAGTGTTCAAAGACGTCTTCCTCACCCTACTTTCAATCTTGACCAGCTTAACACCATGTTTAGCTCTCATGGTCTCACCCAAACTGACATGATCGCATTATCAGGTAGTCTTTTTTTATAATTGGCTTACGATTCATACGGTTTTTAAGTTTACAATTGTTTGGTCCAAAATATCTAGGCATATTATATTGTCAAACTGTTAATTTTTGGTCTCATGAGAGAGCACTTCTATTATCCATGCATTCTTGAGGATTGTCTAGAGGTTTTTCTAACTTATATGCTCTTGTAGGTGCACACACACTTGGCTTCTCTCATTGCAACCGCTTCTCGAATCGAATCTACAACTTCAGCCCCGCAAAGCGTATTGATCCAACACTGAATTCAGCGTACGCATTGCAGCTCAGACAGATGTGCCCCGTTAACGTGGATCCAAGAATCGCCATTAACATGGACCCAACCACACCCCGGACATTTGACAATGTCTACTTCCAGAACCTTCAGCAAGGAAAGGGTCTGTTCACCTCTGATCAGATACTATTTACAGATACAAGATCACGGGCCACCATCAACACATTTGCATCAAGCAATGCAGCCTTTAACCAGGCTTTCGTGCAAGCCATGACCAAGTTAGGCAGAGTTGGGGTTCTGACTGGAAATCAAGGTGAAATTCGGAGTGATTGCACCCGTCCAAACTAGAACAATGGAGTACCATTAGGATAGCTTCATCTGGATTTTACCTCCATGCTATTTTTATAATGATTTAATTTTTTTCTGGACTTGTAAATTCTTGGAGTATCATAAATTGTTTGTATGATGCATGGTCAAGATGTTTGAGTTTCGTTCATTCGAAGACTATACGAATACAATCAGCACACCTCTGCTTAGTTGTGCAAGGAATGTTCAAGTCGCTCAAATAATACATTCTAGCAGTTGAATTAAACTGGAAGACTTGAACAAGTCTCATTAGAGCCATCCAAGTTTGAAGAGAATCAGTCGGATGATAAATTGATAATTAATTATATATTATAGAGGGACTAGTATGCAAATAAATATTTTGAGAAAAATATATGGATGACCATCCTCATTCACTTCCTTATCAAACCTGTTTCTCTGAATGATTGTTCTGACTGAAATTATATTGAACAACTAATGGACTGTGATATCCCATTTCCCATGCCCCATGCTGGCCTCTTTTCGCTATACATATATATATCTTAAAATCATCTTTTGTTGCTAGCTTAAGTGATTAAGAATGTTTACCCTGCACCCGAGTTCTATCTTCAAATCCTCCCTCCATCTTATATAAAAATAATAATAATTAATAATCTCTTTTTTGGCTGCCTTTTCTTCATCAATGGAGCTTTCATCACAATCTTGATCAACATTATAATTTCAAAATTAAATGAGTTTAAACACCAGTTGGTAACTGCCAAGACAATGACCACTTGCAACTTTAATTAAGTTGAAGGGACCCTTGCAACAGCAAAGACAGGGTTCTATTGATTGATCTACTCTTATTCTATTTACCTACAATTAAGCTGATTGATTGAATGGTCAATAGAATAAATTTAAGTGAGACTAGATCAATCAATTATCTTAATTGTATGTAAGTAAAATATGGATAGTTAAAGTAAAAACATATCGATCAACATGTTCCTATTGAAGATAATTAATCATCCTCTCTTTTCAGTCTCATCAACAATTTCAAGGACTCAATTGCTCAAAACTGGAGTTATTGTGTGGTGCAGGTGATCATATTGGTTAACATGAGCCATGAGTTTAGTATGGGCTTTCACATTGATGGCATGAGTTTGGGAAAGGACATGGCCATACCCGCTTCAAGGAGGCTACAATGAGGGGTAAGAGGGAGGGGTAATAATGAGGGGCCCTTAATAACCGTCTAATTAAGTGATGAGTTATTATTGGACTGCTAGATTGAACCCCCCAATATAACCCCTCAACATAGCCTACCTACTTAGATTCTTGACAATACGTCACTTTTGGTCCCTGTGGTTTGTCACTTTTACCACTAAGGTCCCTGTGGTTTCAATTTGAAGCAATTTAAGGACAATCCTCAATTTCTGTCAAATTCTTTTAACTTATGTTACTTATGGAGGGGTGATTTAGTCAACAAGTCATTAAAAAATTAATTCTTTTAAAAATAAACACTACAAAATGGAAAAATTAATAAATAAAAAATATATCTTCTTCTCCCCTCCCTAGAAGCCTTCGTCACTCTCTGTTGATAAATTATGAGCAATGTGGTATTTTGCTTGCACTCAATTTATTGGGCTAGACTTGGGACAGAGAGATAGATGGGGTGTCTTGAGAAGTTTTTGTGGTGGGAGGGTGGTAAGGGTTGGTTGCGGGGTGGGTGATATTGGGTAGTGGCTTGTTAGATGGTGGTAATGGTGGGAGGGGGAGGGCACGAGAGTTAAAAAGGAATGAATTTGTTTTATTTATTATTATTTTTTCTATTTTGTATTTGTTATTTTAAAAAGGAATGAATTTTTTAATAATTTGACCGAATTGCCCCCTCACAAGTAACAGTAGTTAAAAAAATTTAACAAAAATCCAGAGTTGTCCTTGAATTGCTTGAAATTGAAATCACAGGGACGAAAATGTTCAAATTGAAACCACAGGGACTTTAGTGGTAAAAGTGATAAATCACATGGACCAAAAATGACTTTTTGCCTAGATTCTTTGGATTGTTTATGGGCTTGGGCTCACCCGAGCACCCAAAAAAAAATTGAGAGTTCTCAAATTCCCAATTACCAATCCTGGTTTGCTTCATTGATTTAAGTGATTCTTAGCAAAAGCACCTCCCATGTGCTTCTCTATAAAATCATTTAAAACCACTTAAAGTAATTATTTGAAGAAGTGATTCTCCATATAAGTGATTTTTGACTTATCCAAATCACTCGCAAACAAGCCCTTAATGTGCTTTTAATTTAGCTTTTGCTAAATCTATAAAGATCATATTTCCGTTCTTCAGGACTTGCAAGCAAATCTGTAAAGATCATATTTCCAATGGGTTTCAGGTTTATTCACTCATTTTGTCTATAGGATAAGGGTAGGGATAAGGATTGCGTTGCTAGGGACACCAAATGTGCCACATTGTAACTCTTTGTGTAATTACCAAATCTGTCACATCATTAATATTTATTTTATTAAATTGCCATGTGTATTAAGGAGAGTATTTTTGTTCGCCACTTTAACCTAAGGTATATCCTTACCATCCTTGTCAACATTTGACATGTGTACATATGTATAACCATGGTTCCATAAATACAAGGAAAAAGTTAACCATAAGCCTATGGACACGTGTCAAGTATTAAGAATTGTGGTGAAGATACACCTTAAAATGGTGAGCAAAAATATTTCCTGTGTTAAGGGGTAATTAAGTTTTTTTCAACAAAAAATATATAATCTATTTATTTTATATATCTATCTATATATAAAGCACAAGGCAGAGAATGGTGAAACATTTAAAATACCAGAAAATGCCATTGGTTAATTCAAACATTAAAAATTGAAATTATTAATTAAATGATGATAATATGGTAACTAAAAACATTAAAATTAAAAACAAAATCATATAATAAGTCCTACTTTTATGGAACATAACTACCCATATTATCTTTCTTAATTCTAAAAATAAAATAAAAAATAAAACCAATTGACACATGCATGAGCATGTGACAACGGGCTAGTATATATAATGTAGGTATAAAGCCATTTAACATAAAATCGTGGGTCCAAGTTCTGTTGTTAACGCTTATTACTTGGACTTTTTTGGCTGCATGCCCTTGTGGGTCTAAGTTCTACAAGTTGCATTGTTTTTCGCCTTTAAAAATTAAATAAATAAATAAAAGAAAAGAAAAGAACATCACCATGTTATGTTACGGCCTTACCATTGTCACCATATTGCCTCGTCCTCCTCCGGCACCTCATCATTGGACCTAAAACCCAGTTTCCTCTCAGCACTTTCAATCAAGTTCTATCTGTTAATGAGAGGGGATGTTCACCGGATATGAATTGAAAATTTGCAGTTGGCTATGGTAGTGCTTCAATGAACATTAATTCCTTTCATTAAAAACAATGATTGTTACTCAATTACTTTGCAGCAAATTGTGAACCCAAGGAGAAGTATTTGCAAGAGATTTTGTATGTCGATTTCCATTATATTTTCTAAAGCATCAAATATTAAACTAGACCTAAATACATGGATAGGCATAAGATAGATGCCACCAAGGATAAAATTCTTTTGGACTTATTGAAGTACACAAGGTTGTACAGCTCAAATTCTTTTTCTTTTTTCTTTTCGTGGGTGACGAGAGGGATTAGAGGAAGCACAATGCAAAACGCTTGAAACCTGTCGGAGACTACAATTAAGGGTAATTCAACTTCAATCATACTATCATAGAAGATGCATTTTGTGGTAGTGTTCTGTTGGTGATTGGTCTGGGAAGTGCAAGATACTGAAGTCTTCCTTGTGCAAGAAGAAAAGATACAGCAATGTTCAACTAATAAGGCCAGCAAACCAAGTGAAAGGAAAAACTAGTTTCTATCATCTCACAGATGTAAGCTTACCAATCTTGAACTTAGGCAAGGAGCATTAGAATGCAGCAGCATAAGTAACAAAGAAACAATCTTGTGTTCAACAGAATTACGAACCGGAGACCATCAGTTACCTCTGGCCAAGCAGATCTTCTACTTATTTTGATGGATCAAGAAGAAATCAACAGACAATCTGTGCTGCATGTTTCGTTATTAATGGTAGAGGGGTGCTATATTCAATGGTTCAATAGGAATAGGAAGCAACTATGCTTCAATACTCCGCAAGAGCAGCATGGTGAATGGCGCCAAGGAGCCAATACAAAGACAAGGAATTAGCTATATAAAAAGTGATTTAAGAGATAAACTTCTAAGTCCAAAGGGTACATTGCTTTTATATAATTTTCTCTTGTCTCTCGGATAATGGGGGAGGCTATGAATCTTATGATGGATAAGGAAACAGGAGCAATAACAACAAAACAATGCATCTTTTTATATACTGAGAAAGAGGCATCATATGGATTAGCAGTCAAAGACAAATACCAGGTGACAAATTGGAATTTAACATGTTCTTAACTTGTCCCACCTTGGATTTACAGAAAATTAATATCTTGCAAGAGGCTCAATTATTGTCATTTCTACATTTCTATTGGCTTATCTGTGATGTATCTCTTTCCAAAGTAACTACGATAACTTACGAAAATTCTTGCCGTGAGTTAGTCATAATCATCACTTTTATGTGCTTCAAAGAACTTTAGAATTATTGTTTCTCTTTCATTCTCAGACCGAAAAAGGAATAGAAAATTCAGTCAAATGTCTAACTTCTTATAGTTGGAACTTCACCTTGTTCTGGACACTCTAGCAGGGTGGAGGCCACTTCCCTTCCCTCCATAAGCAACGTTTTCTTTGTTTGCATAGATGCGAAAGAAGATAATGAACCAATGGACAGAAAGACGGAGTGAAAAAAAAGGTTTGCAAATGTCCTATTTACACCGATGTAATGCGTGAGAATAGTATCTCAATTGTCCATTTATTAAGGTGACAACTTAATTAGAATTTCAATAATGTAGATTTGCCAAGAAACGCGCACGCAAATTGAAGTATTAGTCCTATTTGAGCTTTAAACCATGGAAAAGCCAATGTGGCTGCTTTCTTTCCTGGTCAAATGTTGCACTAGAGCTGCTCATGGGAGTTGTGGGATCACTGCAGTCTCCTCTATCTGATTTGAATGAGGCAGGCGAATCAAGTTCCTTTTCTTTATGGATCAGCTCAGCACATCCTAACTGAGGCTGGTAAGATTTTGATCTCTTCTTGTTCTTGCTGCTTCCAATGCTTAATGTAAGCTCCACTTCACTATCTTCATCACAGCCAGCTATACTCATATTTTTACTTTTGAAGGCCATGTGAGAGCTTGGCCCTGCTTGTTCTTGGTCAATTGTACTGACTCCTGTTGACATGTCTTCCTCGGCAGGCCTTTCAAGGTCAAATCCCCTTGACATTCTCAGGGTGTCTCCGGAGCAACTTCCACTGCCCTCTCTAGAGATCGGATCATCTCTCAACCTCTGAAGATGGAAATTATATCCAGAAGAAGCTTGAGTTGTTGAATGCTGCCAGTTAATCAACTGAGAATGGTTAATGTGATCTGCACTACTAGTCACCGGCCCCCAAAATCTGTTTCGTTTCATCTCTTTTTTCAGTTCATCCATTAACATCTTTTGTACACTGTACAGTCGGTGTAGCTCTCGAATCTGCAATATTTGGTTTTCAGTTAGCATGGCTGTCATCAGTTTCAAAGTACTGAATTTATTAGACATGAAAAACAATCCGATTGGACAAGTACAAGACTTGGGATCTAATAAGCAAAAAGGGTGTCTTTGAATTGTGTATTGGAATAATTTGACTGATTTGCTTATCCAGCAAGATATTGTTGGTTTCACTTAAAATTGGTCACTGTCATCATTTACTTAAGGGGTTAAATGAGAAGTTGATGATGTTGGTGAAGCAATAAAAGCCTGAGATCTGCAACAGGGACTTCCCAGCTGTACAGATATTATTTACATGGAGAAGCTACTTTCCATGAAACTCAGAAGAGTTCATGCTTCATGGAACATGGATGAACATACAATTATCTTAAAGCACAGAAACATAATATTCCTCATACCTGGTGTTTAAAGGTATCTTCATGCATCTGCATTGTCTTTTTTATGGTATCTATGTTGTGCTTGTCAAGCATCCTATCCATCGAGTTCCGAATTTTGTCCTCGGTTCTAGCCTTCTTATACTTCTCCTTCAGCCCACTTTTCTGAAAATAGTCCCAGTCATCCACGCGATGCACGGTTAAGCTGCTGCTATTTTTTGAGGTTCCTAATATATTGATGGCGTATTCAATTTTGGTTCCCATGCCTGAAGTAATATGCCAGTAAAAAAATGTTGGTAACTACAGAGAGACATATATTTTGAGGAAACACACAGAACTGTTGCTATTGTATAGTGAGAGCTACCACATTGGGCTGTCATTTGTTTTCAATTTTGACAGATAATGATTATCATTTTAGGATACTAATTATAATGTAAAAATTCATGGACAAAATAAAGCAAAAATCAGAAAGAACAAAAAAAATTACTGGCTTCAGTGGAGTAGGTGTGATATATAAAGGCACTAAGTAATGGTGGAAACATAGTCTAGTTGGACACCAAGTCTACCAATCCTACTACATCTAAGCACCAAGGAATAATTGAAAAGATCTGGCCATTTTTGAATTATCTTCAAATCCAATTCCTAGTTCTAACCCATCTAGGTAGTGGAAGTCATCTCTCAAATTCACTGACACTCTGCTTTATATACTACATTTTGCTCCATGATCTTATTGGTTCCCCTTTTGGTGTGCAAATGCAGGCCGCATTTAGGAATAGGATTAGTTTGCTACATGAAACAAAACAGCAAGTTTCAAGGTGTCGAATGAAGGATGAACAAAAGGAATGGCTCAGAATTGTGTCTCAGGAGGCCCGAAAGCGTAATCGGAAAGTTGCCAAACATAGTAGGAACAAAAAGAAAATGGGATGTGGGCAATAGTGAGACCAAATATGGAATGTGGTTGGTTTACCCTATTTTGATTTGTTAGTACATTTCTGCTGTTGTCATCACTGGCCATAACAGTCAGCCTTCATTTTGATGAAATTGCTCTCATGAAGTGTCCACTTCTTCCTGTTTCTTTTGAAAGTAAGCCTCTATGCTAAATCCACATGGTGAAATCAGACAAGAGGCATATAATTATTTCATGGAGATCACAAGTCACAGCATGAACAAAATAAAGCTAAAATGCATGAAATAAATATCAGTCAACTATAAATGATACTCAGGGAGAGACAGAGAGAGATTTGTCAATCTTTAGAAGAAGAAGAAAAAAGGATCTCTTTCACCTTCAAATGTTTTGGCAAATAGAGATATATCTCTATTTATGTACAGAAAACTAACTAATAATCAAGACTTGTGAGTTCCCAGAAGAGCAGAACTTCCAAAACTGGCAAAAACATAAATTTAAAAAAAAAGCAAGAAAATCAGCATCATGGGTTCATTACCATATTGTAATTAAACCTTGAAAACTTTCTGTACACAGTTCAGGTTTGGTACCTGAAGCAGAAACAGCAGAGGTGGAGATTCTCTAGCATGAGGCTCATTGAAAACTTTGCTTCTTCATGCCAAAACCAGCCTCATCCATAAGCTGCTATAATTGGCAATCCAAATCCCAATAAGTACAGAGAAAATTGGCTTATTCCAAGCATCCATCAATATCATCAGTCATTGATCTTCCGTACTAATTGGAGTGGACGGAGCAATCTAAGAAGTGCAGCTAGCAATAATTTAGAAGCCTAGTAGTCCTGGTGTGAACTGGGAGAAGATTCCTGGACACCTCTACACCAGCAAATCTCTTTGGCAGGGCAAGGCAGGCCAATATTAATTTTTCCCAGGCTCACTGATCTCTATACTTTAATTTAGGGAAACAACAAAGCAACAACCTCCCCTTTCTCACTCCTCTCACTAAATTAAAAAACTGTTAATCATGTTCACGGTCATGTTAATAATTCAGGTTTGACAGGCTGTGAAGTTAGGAGGCATGGAAAAAGTTAGACTATACCAATGTCTTGGTGTGCACAATATTCATATTTACATATAGAGAGAGAGAGACAGAGACAGAGAGACAGAGAGTGCTGTTAATTTGTTAAATATTAATTAATCATACATAGTATTGTTTGATGCTGCTGTATTTTAATTATATATTGAATTTGTACTTGTACATACTTGTGACGCATTCAATTGTAACATGGAGGAAGATCAAATTTGTGGGGCCCACAGAAGAGTGATATATAAAATAAAACCAAATGACAAGCCTAATACATGGGCCAAGGTAGGCCAGTGAACAAGATATTCCAGACAAAGTCTTACAGAACATCAAGATTTGCATGAACTTTGATGGAAAGCTGGTGCTTCCTTCCCAGAACAACACCATCTTATATGTCTTATTTTGTTATGCAAATTCAAAGATCTCTGTTTGATTATTATCTCCGTACTAAGACACCATATCTAGTCCAGGGTTGCAATTCAGATTTTCTAGATTGTACAAATGCTGGAGTTTTATAATTGTACTTCATAATTACTGTAAACTTTCTTCTCTGGCATGAGCAGTAAATTTTCTTCTTAGACGCCTGTATTAATCTTCATATTACCGTAAACTTGATATACGTTGTTGATCTATTCTCTGACAACTTAAATTTTTGAGTTCGTCTAACAGATGGTATCATCAAAGCTAACCCGTACAACTACTAAATTTAAGTTCGAACATTTACATCTTCCCTGACATGAGCCAAGTGGTAGTAACAGCACACCACATAATTCTTTTTTCTTCAAAAAAAAACAAGGCAGGATAAACTATTAAATCTAAACAGAAAATAAATAAATAAAATTGTGGAGACTATTCTAGTTAAACAGGTATCGGCAGCTACCACGAACACCCTTGGTTTAAGGTTGCATCTGAGTTAATGCACTGTGTATGGGACCATAAACTGAATTAATTAAACAAGCGAGCCATAGTTCCAAATTAACTTTTTGGATTCTTTAAGTAGGAAAGGATAGGGTAGAAAACAATCTAATCTTGTAGTCACAATCAAAACCAGAAAACCATATCCATGCACAGTACTAATAAAGGGTAATTTTCAGTGGTGCAGAAAGGATTAAGAAACTAAATCCATGATGTTTAAGTGTAACCTAAACACCACCGTAAGTAACCAATGCCCATCTCTCCTTGTGAACCCATCATTAAAGTAAGAAAATAATAATGATAAACTCTTATTCATTCCTTTAAAAGTAAGAAATAGATGGCATGGCCTAAAGATATCTGTACTTTTACTTATCTAACTGAGAGATTAATCTAAAAAATAATGGACCAATGTTTGAATGAGAGTGATTAAAAACCATATAGATAGAGATTAGTGGTGATAAGAGATGGAGGAAAGGGGAACTTGGCACACATCACTTTCAGCAAAAAGATGGAAGGGCCAAAAACATGGCTCTTCCAAGCACTTAAAAATCCAAGAGGCACCTTCAACTACAAGTTCCGATTCTGTGATATATATCACAACACGTCTCATGCCTTGAGAAGAAGTTAGGAGGACATTAATTAAATACATAATTTTCTTTTAAGTTTTTTTAATTGTAAATACAAGCATTAGTTTAAACTATAAGGAAGAAGGGATTTTACACACATACTACTATGATGTTATTAATATTCAAACCTAAAACCACTTATCTGTAAGTTAAAAAGCTTTTTCTTTTAAGTTTTAATTTGATCTTGATATCAATCTATGTATATAATAATATGTGGATGTGGATGTGGATGTGGATGTGGATGTGCCTTCTCTTTTCTTGTCTTGTACTTTGTTTATTGGCTTTCTGAATATCCTGTGGTAACATGGGTTTGGTCATCATCTGTGATTGACTGTGACCCCATTATTGCACTCATTTTCATAGAATTCATGCACGCGCCTGAACATGCACTACTTGCTCCCACACGAATGTGTCTTGCTCTTACCTTAATCCATCATGCGTGTGGGATATGTGTAAGTTCGGATCACAAGCTAACTCTTGGTCTAATGGTTTTTTTTTCCTTCAGAATATTGAAATAAATTTAAGTTTTGAATCTCTCTCCCCTTTCTCTTTGATATAAAAAGAAATTTGGACTTTCTTCTTATTTTCTATATACTTATTATGTACATGTCGAAAGGACTTATTAGGTTTTAGCTCAAGTTATTAGGAGCAATTACCTACGCATCTAAGGTTGTATGTTCGAATCTCTCCAACTCCATATCGAACAATTGAAGATGGTTATCGCGCAATTATCCCTCCAACTTCTTATATAATGTGCGTTTTGTATCGTTATTGTCAATTACTCGATAAACAGTTTTTAGTATATGATCAAAATTGAGGAAAACTATAAGTAGATTGAAGTTTTCTCAACGCATCCTTAAAGAGAAGAGGTCTTGCACAGAAAATTTCTAAAATCATATGTATATAATTATAACCTAATCGACAACTAGACAATATGACATGTTATACTATTTGATGAGAGATAAACATAGAAGTTGATGGAGAATATCTCATGCCCGGATGCTTCCCCAAGGAGAACAACTTTTACTTATATTTTAAATAGTTTTGTGCTTTATGTACCGGTGTCTTTGATCTGTAAGCTTACAATGCAGTGAGTGTTGTTCATTCTCTGCTTGGTCCGTAGTCCTACAAAGTTTCTTAAACAATCAATAAAATTACTGCGTAATCAAATGATACCAAACAATAAATAATTAATATATTATTGGTAAACTATTAATTTGTAAAAAAAAATCCAACCTGGGACGGCCACACTACGTGCATTATATATGGGCGGTTTTGGGTTGGCCACGTGAACCATCCACATGACACATAATATCATCGCATTTTAAATAAAAATAAATTCTAAGACCTATGTGAGAGAGAGAGAGAGAGAGAGAGAGAGAGAATATTGCAATCTATTTCCATTTTTCTTGGAGACGATGGTGTCATTTCCTAATTCCTAGCTAGCTCTCTAGATGTGTGATTTCATTATATTGGGAATCTAGTCCCTTTCGCTCCACTTGGCATGAAGCGCTGACTGTGTACACATTTCAGGGCTCATTGGTTGCTAACAAATTTGATTATTATTAAGAAAGAATCCAATTAACTTGACTTGCAACACTACTTTCCCTCAAATGTCATGTCAGTTGTTTTGTCGGTGTATGCGGACGTGAACACTGTGAAGGGAATGAACCCAAACCCCATACCTATTTTTAGTTTCTCCGATGTGTACGTGGATTAATGTTGTTCATTAGATATCG